CCCTTTGCTCTACACTTACTGCCATGGCTGATCCTCCGCTGCTTCTGGTTGGTGGAGACGGACCGTACCACCTTGGTTGCGTGGGAGGGGGAGTCCTTGGCGGCGGTGTTGAGGTCGGAGGACGGTCTGGATGGTCGTGAGGGGGCCTGAAGGGAGAGGCTGCTGCCTGAACGAGAGTCCGTGCCTTCCAACTGTAACATACGCCCAACACCACAAACTCGCTAACATGCACCATGCAGAGAGAGGCTACAGGGAGCACCGCGGAACAGCCCACCACCAGAGGCAGGGGGGAGAGCAGGCTCAGAATCTTAATGCATTAGTGTCATTGAGATGAAGGCAGGGTCCCTACTGGCAACAGTATACAAGTGAAAAAAATGCACAATGTTCCTTAGTGCATGCGGTGTCATTATAATTATAAGGTACTAGGGAAGAAATGCAGTTTCAATATCCACGTCTTTAGAATACTACTGGTCAAAATATATATCAACCTCTTTTCTATACATGATGGCTGCATTAAGGACTACATAAGGCTGCATTTCTCCCTCATGTTATATGTTCTATAGATATGTGTTCAGTTTAGGTTAAAACTACAATACATAGAGCACACCATCAATTTGCACTTATGCATCAGACACCTTGCATTCAAAACCTTCGTCATGACATACACAACCAGCCACAGGCCAGGATACTAAAGCAGAGGTTACCTTGCCATACTGCTGTGCAGGCTAATCCTTACTACTATGTCTGGCTATCATCATGTCACAGGTGCAACCTTTGTTAAACGTTTTAGTTGGAGTGACAAGAAACAAGTGAAGCACTTACCTCACTGGTTTTGTACCCTAAGAGTAAGTAAGTAGCCATGATTTCGTCATACTTCTGGCTCTTCAGAGAGTCTTCTATATCTTTCCGCGAGTAGTTCATTGATATAAGGAGTTCTATGAAAAGAGAAAACATGTAAGAGTTGGTAGCTGTTGGGAAAAAGAACTGGATCTGGTGCAAGAAAAGTACATGTGAAACTCTACAAACACTACCAAATCTCACTATATACTACAGGAAAAAATACTAAAAAGTTCCATCCAACATTCAACATGCACCACTGGAATTGTTTGCACACACTGACCGGCATTCACTTTTGTTAACTGTTAAGGGGTGCTCTCTAAGAGTATGATTATATCATTACTTCTCCACTTGCTAGGTCTGTAGTTTTTTCCCCTGAATGTTGTTAAAACATGCTGACTACAGAAACAGACTAACTTTGATATCCTGGTCCGTTCCCTTGGTAGACAAGAAGGACATGCTTTAGTAACATACATAAGTTAGGGGGAGATGGTGGTTAACAGTTAAAGGAACTGCCAACGGTTCCTGGCTACAATGCTATGTGCAACTGACAAAAGTCTTTAGTATAATACAATTAAGATGTGAAGGTTCTGCCAATTACAACAGAACTATAGGAGATACAATTTTTTTTAAAGGTCTCTTTCCTCTCTATTCAAAACACTACTGGACACTGCCTCAGATGTATGCACCCATCATTCTGTATATTCAACCACATTTACGACAATGTTATAACAGACAGTAGTACTAAAAACAGCAGTGCCTACAGCAGGGTTAGACTGATCAACACAAGGTAAAGCACTGGATTGACGAGATATCTGAAAAACAGGTGTTGTTTACTGGGCCAATGGAATTGACAGAAATCTGACAACTGAAATCAATATACAGCTATATGTCCTTTCTTAGTTACCGGAACTGGGTTATGTAACTCCTGGGACTGCTGCTTGTTTTGAGCAGCAGGTTTACCACTGATCGGTTGGCTGGGCCCAGGTTATTATCCACAGTCTCATGAACATGATCTCGGAATGTCTGCGTGGGGAAACTACAGGACATGCTTATCAGAGGGGATCTAACAATGAGCAGAGAAGCTGCATCAATAATTTACGATCCAGTCTCTCACCCCAGCCATGGAACAGGATGCAAGGATACAAAACTGAACTTGATTCTGAGCAGCTATAAACATACTGACATCAATGTAACAAAGATGTTTTCAGCTTAAGGAGAATGCACGTTTCCACACAAAATCAATGAACTTGAGTTAAATCAAAGCTGTTACTGGTGCAGGTTCAAATTGTCCAGCTCATGTTTCATGCATTACAATTATTGCTCCAGATTGGATCAAAACATGGCAAGTTGCCATTTTTCTGTTCTCTCCATTTTTCTGACATAGGAATTATCAACTAAAGATCATATTCAGCTTTCAGCAAGACTGGGCAAAGATTACATAGGTAAATGTACAAACAAAATAGAAAATGATGTTTCTTGTTATTTCAAAATTTTTAGGGAAAGTGTTACTTGTTTTTCAGACCAGCAGGACTGGACACAGGTTACACAGGTTATATACAAAACATAAAGAGAGAGTCCATTGTCTGGCTCTGAAATACTCACTGACTGATTCTTCTGGTTCGAATGGGAGCAGGCAAAGGGAGGACGAAAGGGGGTGGACATGTTAAAGATTATATGAGCACCCAGAGTCAGGAATTAGTACAGACACAATGGAGGGATTCACTCCGATTGGATCTGGCATTACATAAAAAAGCAAGAATGGATAACAATCACACATGTACAAGCAATGAAAAAAACAAGACTCTAATCTGTGGCTGTTTATGGGCATTACGCCTTTCCTTCCTTATCTATCAATTAACTCTATAGACTAGTTCCTGGGTTCTACTGCCCTAGGTCATTGTACTTCAGCTCCCAAAAATTATCTGGGGTCTATTTTCTTACATAATATAGCTATAGCTCCTCTTTTGAACTATTGTGAATCAAGGAGCACAAACTTGATTTTATGGATGACATCTGAGAACTCCATGATTTTGAATTATTTTCCCCAGAAAAAAAGTAAATCTAAAAGACTGGCAACAACATACTTTAATGCTCATATTCCAGCAAAAAGGAGCCAGAAATCATGGAGATGATTTATGTGCTCTCACATGACATTTTGAGGCTCCAGATAATGTAATCCATAAAATCAAGTTTGTGCAGCCAAATGACACCTTCCATGCATAAGTGGCTGACATTTTTTCAGAAATATTACAAGCATAGAATATCTAGCTATTTTAATACATTACAGTTAATGATATTCATAATCAAGTTGGAAAGACAGGGGGGGTGTGAAATGCAGCTTTTTTTTAATCCTTACATGAGGTTGCTACTGAAGGTATGGTAAAAGCATTTTTTCTTTTACGTCATAGTCATGATTCACGATTGTTGTGTATTTGTCACAACTTTTTGACATGAATGTATGTGCTTTTGATATTTTCCATGTCCCCAGTGTTTATCCAAACAAGAAGTGACCAATGTCACTTAAGATATGCTCAAGTTTATGAAAGGGACAAAATGGAATTCTCCAAAATCTTCCACCTTGTAGGTCCTTACCTATTCTCTTGGGGTCACTCCAGTCAGGGTCAGGTTCTCGGTATGGCTTCAAGTCATCATCATCATAACCTACATTCATCCATCTGTCCCGCATTATTGCCTGTAGAACAGCGGGAAGAGACCACCACTGTCAGAACTGCAGTGAGAAACCACTCTAACCCCTCTGTGGTAGAAACCAGCAATATAATAAACAAACTAAATGAAATAGATGTGATGCTCAGTAATACTTTCCCATGTTTCTGCTTGTGCTGCAATACAAATTGGTCCATATATACATACTCATATAAACATATTGCAGCCTATCAACCAATCTGTTGGTTTACATCATTCTTGATTGTAAATTTGGTCTCTTTCCTCCTCAGAGTCAGATCCTGTACATACTTCCCCCCTTTTTTCCAGAATGCATGCTTTCAACTGGAACATTTGAAAGTGCACTGGTAGTGTGGTGCATACAGCACATCATGCTCATGTTTAACTCACTGAACCTGTTTGTTCATAACTGTTCCATGCAACAGTCAACACATCTTCATATCATTCCAAATAGAAACTAACAGCCTTCTAACCAGAAAAATTGTGGCCACATCAGGCTTACAGTAAAGTCTGGTCATGCAAAAAATACACTGGTCAACATACATCCTATTATACAGTATAGCCCTACAAGCATGAAGCAACAAACTACAAATTTACTTCAAAATCCTGTAGTCTTTTCCAGTACCTTTTTCTTAAACCAGTGGGCCTTGTGCCCTCCTGGTCTTTCCTCACTATCCTCCTGCGGCAAAGAAAAACCAAGCTACAGAGACGGCAACCAAAAGCACACATTACACTAAAACACATCTGTTGCCTCTACCGTTTGCTAGTAAAAGTAGTAAAAAAAGAGCTAACTTAAAAAAATGCTTTTGTCAACATTTTAATATCTACTGTGACAGAACAAGGGTGTATTTATAATGAAAGAAAGGGTGACTTACTTCTAATGACCCTCTCTTCAATGGATTTAGGACCAGAAACCTTTTTAACAGGTTCTCACAGTCGGTAGACATGTAGAATGGAATGCGGTACTTTCCTCTTAGCACCCGTTCCCGCAATTCCTGCAAAACAAAATTGAACAATCAGTACTCATCACAAAACTATCATCACTGGAGGAATATTCCTGTAAGACAAATAGGGTTCATTTCATTTCAATGGTGCTTTGGGGAATGAGCTTAAAATCTAGTCAACAAATAATGAAGGGCTTGGCCCTACAGCATTCTAATTATTCAATCGAACAACCACCAGTCAAATTCATAAAAGCATCCATAAATCATAAACCTTACTCCTACTAAAAAAAAACAAATAAACAAGTCTACTACTACATCATTTCTTTGATAACTTGTGATTTTCCTGCACCACTAGTCAGTAACAGGTGCCTGTTGAATGATTGATAGCCAGACACAGACATGTGATCCCAGAACAGGAAACTGGACACCAGAAAACATCACTTCTATCAACCTACCAATCCACACAGCTGGCAGTACTGTACCACCACCAGGTGACCTTGGCAATGAAAGAGGGGGTCTACAAACAGTTACCACCTGTCACTCACTCATGTAATTACGTGTACATTGTCATATTTCCAGTTCTGGGTTTGGAAGTCTCTCTTGCATCAGACAACATTTTTGTTTTTAATGCCCATCAACTGTAATAACATGGGTGACCCCTTCAGAAAGACCACATTGACATTCTTTCCAAGCTTTGGCTGCACATAGTAAAATCCTTGTTTGACAGCTATTCCAATCTTATGTAAGTCCTGCTCCTTATCCATGTTTTGTGATTTCTCTTATGATGTGGAGATAATTGATTACTTTGCTAGAAGAGTGACAGAGTCATCTACATAAGGCCATTTCACTCAACAAGGAAGGAGGACCATACTGACTTCTGGGTTCACATGACCAGCACTTTAGATGATGTCACCTACCAACATGTATGAGCTATGAGGATCCCTCACTTTCAGGTCACAATCTGTAATGTTTATCACACACACAGATTTCTGTAAGAAGACCTGTACCTTCAGGTTCTGGCCGTCGAATGGCAAGGACCCGCTGACCAGCGTGTAGAGAATGACGCCCAGGCTCCAGACGTCCACCTCGGGGCCGTCGTACTTCTTCCCCTGGAAGAGCTCCGGAGCAGCGTAGGGCGGGCTCCCACAGAACGTGTCCAGCTTGTTCCCTGGGGTGAACTCGTTGCTGAACCCAAAGTCGGCAATCTTGATGTTCATGTCCGAATCTAGCAGCAGATTCTCAGCCTGGGAAATAGTCAATAAGCTTTGTATTAGATTGTACTCTAAATAACAGGGAATTCTATCACACTGAACATAGTTACCGTATTGCACATTGTATAGGATGACTTTGTAAAACCATTCATATATCAAAGACTATCAAATATAACTGACTGGGTGCAGTACAGACCTCCATAGGGTGATATGCTTTTTAATACATGTACAATTAACATCAACACATTCCTTAGTTGTCTGACTTTTCTTTCCAAATCTATAACTACGATAATATCTGTCTTAATGCAACCTGTCAGATATGACACTTTCATACAAAAATACACACACAATAAATTTCTCCTGACTCTTACTGCCAATGTCACAAAGTTTCTGGTTGGAAAGCATTACAACACAGCAGGAGATGCTCTACTATTGATACATATGCAGTTAGCAGGCCAAAGTGTCACTACAACCGGGCCCATTTCCAACTACCCATATCCAGAAATAGCTGAACGACTACGTAGGCAAACTACACTGTCACTTCAAAGCCCTTTTGAGTCTGTCATGTTTTGAAAATGGTACTATGGAACAAGCATTGAAAATAAAGACATTGGAGTGTAGCTGTTACTTGAACTGAGGCAATATGATGATCCCCTGTGTGTCTGTCAAAATTTGTTACGTTTTGAAAATGGTACTGAGGAACTGCCATAGAAAATGAAGACTGTTTCTAAAAATGGCAATCCTTTGTGCCAATCCAAAAGTGCAGCTCAACCAGTAAAAAGGGGGCTGTACATCATCGAAATATTGAAATGAAAGTTCTACGTTTTGCATTTCTATGTTTTGACCGAGGTGGGAGGGGCCATCTACCCTCAATATGAGAAATCTGCCTTTTATTTCCTTCTAATCAGAAGGATGGAGAATGGAGGCAATCATGCAGAGCAGTTTTTAAGCCATTTAGAGTTGACTTATAATTCCAACGTCCTTTCTCCTTTTCTGAGAAGGGTTCAGGAAAAGAAAACCGAGGGTCAAATGAATTTAGTGTTAAGAAATAACCAATTACTGGTAATGCTTCCCTATAATGTCATCAGAATTCAGATCTTTTGCTCTGTGGGGCACATGCTGAACACTCACCTTGAGATCTCTATGCACCACACGTTTTTGATGACAATACTGTACAGCAGAAACTATCTGTAAGGTAAGAAATATGGGGTCAGTTTCACCTAACAAGTCCAGGCAATAGGGAAACTAGTCTTACAAGAAATTAAGTTACCATTGGCCTGCTATTACCATTGCTTGCAATTGTCCAGATGACAAAACAACTTGAGTAAGGTGGGTTTAAACATTGAAAATTTCCTACCTGTCTGAATTTGGCCCTGGCTTCCTTTTCTTTCATTCTACCGTGGGCTACTAGGTAGTCAAACACTTCACCTGGTAGGGAAAAAATAAAATGTCAGCATTAGTCTTCTAGAGTGACAAAATCTATTGTGTAATATGTTTAAATGTACGAACATTTTAATAAAGATGTTCTCATGTTTGTTTATAACAACAGCTAGATACATCTTTATCTTAATCTTTAAAAAGTTGTTGATGGCAAAATCTCACAAAATTTGTGTCTGAAAATCATAATTTATCACAAATGAAGAAGCAAAGTGTTGTTACACACACCAACTTCAAGTAAATAGAATCTTTTAACACCAGTAGCTAGTGATTAATGATAAATAATCTGTTATGTAATTGAGATTCAGTGAGCAATTCTGCCACCAGTCACGCAACACTACTGAACAGATGTGATACTACATTACAAACATACAGATAAGCCATCATAAGGAATATTATGTTACAAACACACAGATAGGGATGTATCATTTTCGTAAACACTGTCTGCAGTATAGAAGATACTGATCACCACACACATAGCAACAAACTGACACTAATAAATCATCTTCCTGGCCTCCTGCCAATCTGCTATTCAACCTCAGTTTTGTAACTACACACCATTGCCGTTCATGGAAAACAAAATGATAGAAGGACTTACCCCCACTTGCATATTCCATAACAAGGTATAATGTCTTCTCTGTTTCTATCACTTCAAACAGTTTGACTGCAGGGCACATATAACAAATTATATTTGTGATGGACATCAATGGGCAATCACATAAATATATAAAAGTGAAGGTTTTGATCCACATCTGGACATTTTTTATTATCTTAAACATTTTGTTTCTTGGTCCATGAATAATGCAGTATAATTCAACAGGTATTTTCTCATGATTTTATCCTGATGACTGAGCCTTTGTCTAAGGAACAAGTAATCAAATTTTCAACTTTAATTGTTCTCTGAGAGAAAATTTACAAAAATTATGGTTAATGTGCACAAATTACAATAACCTAAATCTAACTTTTTTATAATTATCAATCATACAAAAATAAGAAGAGAAACTCACCAATATTGGGATGATTGAGCATCTTCATTATTCTGACTTCCCTAAAGAGCTGCAAAAAAACATGAGTGGTTGAACATTAAAAATTATCCCAACAAATCAGAACCTATCATTGTTTTGTTGTAGCCTGGGAGCCTTCTGTTTTGTACCAAGGTAGCAAATGCAAGGAGCCCCACTACAAAACAGATGGCTCCTGTCCCTAATGCTACAAAATTGCATAATGCCATTTCATACTAATCATAGCTGGTTATTCTTCCCCATCCAATCGAACTTCTATCTCACACAGTGTTCATCAGTTTCACATTGCCAGTAATTAATGAGCCCTTCAGGGCTCCTTTCCAATGTCATCAATTTAAGCCCTCATCACATGTTCAGAGGAAAACTACCAAGGTCCACAACAGATACCAAGTACACCAGTGCTAGAAGCAACCTTTTGTTTTATATATCTACTGTCCGTACAGCTCAATTGATCCCGCTTACTGTGAGTGTGACTTAGCACTTTTAATACAGCCACATCCTAATCCTAACACCTGTAATGACTTTTCCTTTCAAGGCAGCATTTTTGCATCCAATTTGAATTGGCAATAGCATTGGAGAGAAGGTCATTCATTCATTCTGAAGATGTCTGCCATTCCTGGGACAAATATGTTTGGGGAGATAGCCTATCTAATCAAAGGGATTCAGGTATAAAAGTGCTTCCAAAGTTTGTCCCCAAAACAAAACCTTGGAAACCCCATATGCATCCTCCTGTCAGTGATTCTTTTCCTGTTGACAGTAAGTGTCCCCGGGGCCATAAACACCACTATCACTGCCACACCCAACCCTACAGTGGGGAGGGCAGCAAGATGGGCATATATGGAGGTCTGTACAATCCCTAATCATCAGTGGCCAGGGCTACTTCAACTGAAGGATCCTTGTATCATAAAACCGTTATCAAGATGTCTTCGTCTTGAGAAATTCTACTATGGTGCTATACTGTTTGTCTCTGGGAGGTAGGTAGTCATTTCCAGGAGTCAAGCAAGGTTCATACACATTTCGTCTCCAAGCAGATATTGGCAGGAAAGGTCATTTAAGGGTTGCACAATGGTGCTTGCTGTCATCCACCATTTAGAAATGATTCATAGCTATGAATATATGTCACTGAATATATGATATTCCATTGCATTACATTGCAATACACTGCGCTCCTGACAAGATGAAAATACAGTATATACAATGTTTTCTTATCAATATAAACCTTGTTGCTTCCCAACAAAATCTGGTTGCCCAAACTCTGGTCTGGTTGCCCAAACTCTGGACAACTGTTGTTTTGACTACAGCGAATTATAAGTAATTACAGAAGCAGTTATTACAACAAATACAGTAGCTGTCTGTCAGGTATGCCCTACTGGGTTAATAATTTCCTGTCAATCTTTCCCCCATGCCAGTACAACCCCTCTGTGATTTATTAACATTTCTGAATAGCAGTCTAAAAATAAATACCACAGGTCCAGCTGAATAATTACATTTTTCAGGTTCCTTTGTCAGATATTGGTATGGAAGTCATCATTTTCTATACTTTTTGCCTTGTTCTAAAGCAAACACAAGAAAATAAATAATCTAGCCACTATGATTTTACACACCAATATACACCCGTCTTGTGATGTGTACTGTCCCACTCAACTGTAGCTCAGAAATTTACAGATAATCCTGGATATGCCACTGATTTCAAAGGGACCCTCTATAGGTTTCGACATCTCATACTGGAAGACTGATAATCATACACCTTGTACTCCTTTTCTTGCCTAATGATCACATGGATCGTGTGGATATCTGACCCACTGCCTTGTCTTACGTAAAAGAAGACAATTTTACTCTTCCCTTCTCTAGTATTGTTCTTTAACCACACGAAAAAACCTTATGGTACTAACTGTGTATGCCACGACTCAAACCTATCTGCTCCTTTCCTAGCTTGAACTGTCTTCAATACAAAACCGGTAAGATAGACCATATGGTGCTTTACAATTTATGTGATACAGATACTGATATGCATCATACAGGCATATCTGCAGTTGTGTCCTCTTGCCATAAGTCAAAAGTTCTGGACCTCCCCTATTTCCTGTGCCCTGGCCACCCGATTTGGGGGCAGGAAGTGCCAAGAAGAACATTTGTTACATGAACCCATCACCTGTTCCTGTCCTACAACACTTAATATGCAGCAAGCACTTCTGGTGTGATCTCCAAGCAGATGTTAGGAGAGAATATTGTAACATTTCTTAAGTGACCCTTCCTAATCTATTAGGTGTTATCTAAAGAAAATGCTTTTCCCACCCAACATTTGCTTGTACATTACTTTTGGTGTACAGAGCAAGAAATGCTATGTACAGTATGATTGAAGACTACAAACGAGTTCCAAGGTTGTTAAGTTTTAAACTTGGGTCAGAATATGTTACTAGTAGGGAAGACAAAAGCTAAAGTCATCAGGGTAGAGATTTTTACCAAATGCCAGATTGCTCTGTGCAGAGCGGTTAGTGGTTCCAGCCCTGCATCTGCCAGGCTGCCACATGACTCCCATCCCTGAAATACATTTGACGAATCCTTCTGCCAGCGAAAAATCAGGTCAACCCCAGAATATGACATATCCGACTGGACGTCATAGTTTAGGTCCAGCAGCACTAATCTGGGTATAACCACACAACCTATCCAGATTGAGTCACAAGGGAAAGGTCTAAGCCCAGTATATACTACCCGTCAAACCTCCACTGATTGACCTGTACTATGGCAATAACCAAGCTGAATACTTTAATTGGACACTGAACAATTTCAAAATGTTTGCACAGGTAAATGCCACTTTGCTGAGTCTGATATCACCATAGGTAGAGGAGTAAAGACAATATTCAAAATAGATTACCCTGCCTAGGTCTTAAGTTCTAAACATGCAAAAACTCTATTGATTAACCACCAAGACTGGACACCAAACTATAGAAAAGACCACAGGGCAGGTATTGGAAATCATGGCTACCCAAAGAGGGTGCAACAAATTTTTCAGGAATTGATGTTATGATAGCCATCTGATTGACATGGGAAAACAACTTACTTGTGAGTCGTGACCTACCACAATATATATTTAAATTTGTTGACAAATACAGGCCATACAATTGCAAACAATGAGATGAAATCCTCTACCATAAAAGGTCTTTCTATTTAAAGTATTAAAGTAAACTACACCTAAGATAAAGCCTTGCCTGCATGCCTTTTGCTCAGATTCATTTTGTATCAGGCAAATTTCAGACCATGTTATACACACACACACAGAGGACAGGCGTATCACAGGGATCATTGCAGAAGCTGCTTCCTCGTGATAGAGAAGGCCTGATCCTATCACTGCTCTCATCCTCTCCTCACAGCCCAGGCTTTCTATTACCTCATGTCTATAGCCTAAAGACATAACACTGACATTTGGAAATTTGACAGATGTTTAAACTTGTATTTCAGCTTACTGTTGAAGCTTACCTCTTAGATTTCAGCATCTTGGATTGTTTTATTATGTAAGAAACTTTATTAAACCCGACCTTCTGGTGGAATTATAAAGTATGCAGTCGTCCCAATATCCACACAATCCTAGTCCTTCCATAAATCATACAAATTCATCCTTCTGCCTTCCAAACTTATCCTACAAACTAACAAGGCAGAAAAGCAAAAATAATACTGACAAGGACAATCGTCATTAAACATGAGGCCACAATAAAAATAGCACCTTTAACTTCTACAGTAACATATGCTTTTTCACAGCAATACAAGGCATGGAGTCATTTTGCCCATAATCATGATGGAGCATCCCAGCCCAAAGGAGCTGTACAGCAACATCAATTATTCAGCAATGCCCATCCACTGATCAATATACTTTCTATTAGTTGCTGTTCAGTCCCGTCGTTGAGAAGTCAGCCAATCTCTCTGTCTCAATGCTGTACATAACTCATCATTAAATATATTCCTAGGTACAAATCATATGAACTTGATGCCACCTATGAATACAAATAGGGGCTTCCTGTCTTAACATTGGTTAGGAAAAGGGTAGTTAGGAACAGCTTGAACTAAAGCAAGGCAAGATTCCACATTTCCATTCCTATTTTTTGATCTCTCGATGAAGAAAATGGATTGAGAATGTACACTGCAATCATGTAAAAACAACCATGATTATATTTCCTGTTCAATTGTAACGGTAACTATTGAAATCCCATTTGGTAGCCTGATAATAGGAATATTGCATGTAAAGTCAGTGTTCAGTTCTGTTGATTAGCCAAGTCTGCAGAAAATGGCATGCATGGTAATCTCCAATTTATTCTTAGTGTTTCACACCTGTTTTTGCAACATTTCCTGAGTGTTGCATTTTATAAGGCTTGCCTCCATCCTAACTATACATAAAACAGGGTTCTCCCCAGACGATGGAACAAGGGCGCTGCGCCCTGATACTCCTAGCTCAGCGCCCTCATACTCATTTTCAAATCTAGGGTGTTGCATCCCGATTTTTCTACAAAATTTCGCTAAAATTCGATAAAATTTCCTGATTTCGGGGCTTAGTGGCGTCTATTTTCCCGCCGGCATTGTCTCTGAAAACTTGTGAATGGGGCGATAATCGAGTAAACAATGAGTATTTCGCACGACGCTACTGAGAGAATCGCTGTCATTGGTGGAACATCGGGCGCCCCGCTAGCGTTTTGAAGTCGTGTAAAGAAAGCTAATTGTCTGATTTCTTTGTAAACCAAAGCCCTCGACCCTGATAATAAGTTTAAAAATAAAAGCCGATACGTTTACGAACTTATAAACCGTAGAAAATTCCCTACCGTACCGCGACATTATGAAGCATGTGGCGGCCGCGAAATTCGTTGACGCGACAGAAAATGTCTGGTTCATGATAGCGGTATTTCCCATGAAAATAACGTATACG